AGAAGTGGAGAGAGAGGGCATGAAGCAAACAGATACAGAATACATCGAGCCTTAAAACTCGATGCGCAGATGGGGTATGTAAAAGACGCGGCCAACAAGATAGGAATTGGTTAAGAGTGGAGAGAAGCTAAAGTCCAAGATGCGGGCTCTGTTCAAAAGGTTATGGTGAAGACAGAATTCAAAATGGATAAGGCACTCGAGCTTGAATCGGTCAAACCTCATCGGGCTAACACCCTACGGGCTTGATGACATACGAAAGTTAGTGAAGCTCGCGTATCATTCGTCGTGGAGTAGTAGTATTGCACCAATCGCACTATCAGAAGTATGTTAATATCATGTAGCTCTGTATGCTTTTTACGGCGGTCATTATCATTGGCTTAATTACCTTAGTAGGCGAGCAACCATCGTTATGGTCGATACAGTATTCTCCTCCGCAGGCAACGCATGAACGGAGTACCTCCATCATACAAGACAGGCACTGGTAAAGAAACAGCCCTATTAGCACTGGAATATCCATGAGAGGAGAAGGCAGGCTTACAGTAGGTCCGCATTCCCAACAGTCCCTGCGCATGAATGGTCGATTCTGATGCTGGAGCCAAGGTTAGTAAGATTAGATCTGGAGAATAATTGACAGTTAAACGAAAAGGCTGAGCCAAGAAGGTCGAAGATTCTTGGGCGAAATAAAGGCTGGCCTCAGAGGATACACAACAGCTGTGGGCTTCCGTAGATCAGGCGGGTTTCAAATGATAAACAAGGAGGGAAAAAAAAGAAAACCGTAGATAAGATATCTTTACTGATAAAGTCGAGTTGCCTGCTGTCTCCAGCCCAAGTTTTTGTACTTTTGGTGGCCACGGCTTGGTTGTATCAGGCAAACATGCAGCACACATCCATCGGTTGCACCTGTGGCATCGCCGGCCTCTTAGGCACTCTTCACACTGGGCGATTAGCACCGGGGATTCATTGAGGCGGAGGGCGGGAGCCTTGGCGACGGCGGTCTTGTAAGAGTGCAAGGGCGGCGGTGTCAGCAGCGGAAAATACTGCTCGGGCGACTGCTGCCATACCAGGGGCCCCTCGGGAGAGGTGCGGCACCCGTCGCAGCCCGCCGGTCCTAGCGAGACAGTCGCAATGGCAGGAGGCAAAAGGGGGCCAGAGGCAGCAGTGATAACCGAGAGAGTGGTATCGTCTTGAGGATGCTGAAATTGGCTGTTGATGACCTGGTGGTATTGTTCGTGACTCTCATTATTGTTGTTCATGAGATACAGATTTGGATCATGTCTGGCACCCCTACACAGGGGAGCGTCAAAGGATATTACTCCTTGGCAGAGCTGCAGTGTATGCGCCCATCCATTCTGCACCGAGGGCAGTTTCAGGACTTGGCCTGGCTCGCGGTACCACTCACTGCCCAGAGATAGGCGGCCTGGGCGGTTTGCGAGCACCCCTGATCGATCAACGGGCTCCTCCGCCTGCACGACAGCCGAGCCCAGACTAGAGCGATGTAAGGTGCGGTGATGACGCTGGCGGTGCCGGCGATGGTTTGACGAGTCTCGGTGGCCAAGCGTCGACGTGTTGCAGCCTGGCAGCCTCCTGTCGTCTGATGGGCTGGCGCTGCTGGCAGGAGTCGCAGGAGTTGCGGGAGTCGCAGCAGCTATGGGCTTGGGAGAGAAATAGTAGATTCCCTTTACGCTTGGCGACCCCTTGGCGCGGTCGGGCCGTACCGCGTATTCAATGACCTGCCTGAGTTTGTGCTCGTCGAGATGGAGGCACCCCCGGATCGAGAGGAGGGAGACGCGGAAACGGTCGGTCAGGAGGATGTCTGAGACCAGTTCGGCCGTGACTGGGAGGCCATCGAGAATCAGCGTCCTGACGTCTTGGAGGACTGACCGTCGGCTCAGGTCGTCGAATATGGTCCGCAGGGGTGCTGAGTAGAGCTGTTCGTCCGCCACAGGCTGATCCGTCATACGAGCAGCACTTATGTTGCCGTGGATGGCAGGCATCCACGAGAGCTGGGCGCCCTTGCAATTAGTGAGATCCAGATACCGGAACACATACGGAGTGTCCATGATAACGGCACGCAATGCTGTGCAGGCCGAGGCCAGGGAGAAGAGCGATGCCACAGACAGATATGGGGCCAAATGGTCGAGGATAAGCGAGTTGGAGATGATATCCCAAAATGACACCGGCCGTTTTCTGAGCTGCCCTGCTCTTCTCCGGAGCTCTGTCTGTGATACCGGTAGGCTCAGACTGCTGGAAGCCGCAACACGCTCAAGGAGATGAGTCTTATAAGCTGCCATAGCCTCTCCGGTAACATCGTTTTGGAGAGTGACATAGCATGGCTCCGGCTGGGACTGAAGCTCCTGCAACGCTGCCCTGGCTCTAGCTAGCTCTGTCTCTAGTAAGTCAATGGTGGACTGCAGCATGGCCGGCATAGCTCTCACACTGAGCGGATCAACGGCAGTCAACAAGGATGCCCATATTTCGGCTGAGGCCATGTCCTGTAATCCAAGATGCTCTTCAAGATCTCACTGAAATGACGGGGTTGAATCCTGTCAAATTTGGGGGTATCCTGAGGTTTGGTAAGGCTTCCCTTCTGAAAGAGGGTTATCAACTGGGAACGAGCTGGCCTAGCCTCTGTTATGAAAGAGAGACAACAATATGGAAATCTGAGGCAAAGTAATAGTGATATGCGTAAAGACGCCTTCCTTGGAGTATGAAGGGTTTCGAGAAGAAGACAAGTTGGATAGCTGGGGGGTGAAAAAAGGATATAAAAAAGAAGCCAAGCACTGTCCCAAGAAGCAATTATTGCAGTGTTGGTTGATAAAGGACTGAAAGGAGAAGAAAAAGAAATTACATATTAAAATTAATAATAAGATCCTGATAACATGAAGATTGATCAAAGGGGTGGCTGGCGAGGGAGCCTTCCTATTAGTTCAATAGTGCTTAGCGAAAGGCTTGAGAGCAAGACAGCAAATGATACACCCCGAGACGGTACGGGAGAGCAGGGTCGGGTAGGCGGATACCGAGTGGAGTGCCCCGTATCGTTAGCTTCCTAGTTGGCTACTGCTCGGTATGGACTTTATGTATCAAATTATGCCCTGGTCCCCGAAGGAGACAAGGCCGAAGAAACCTGGGGTAAGTAAGTTAGCAAGCCCTCATAGAAGAGCTGGCCATGTGGAAAAGGAGGAGACAATATAGATTCCTCCAACCCTCCGAACCGCACGACTACGTCCACCTAGAATAGCAAGGAATGTCAAACGCATGCACGGTCAACTCATGGACTTTGTGCGTCGAGCCTGGCTTATGTCGTCTCGGTGCTGGGATGCCGGATGATTTCTCCCTTTGCTTCTGCCATCAAACCGACTCGTATAGATGCCATCTAGTTGCCATAGTATGTGTGCTTTATGCAAGTGGTCGATGGCAACGGCTATGTCCCATGGTCGAGAGATAAGCAAGGTCAGCTGGCCATAGAGGAGCCGTCCATCCTGCTCGATGTCCCATCATATTGGTCTGCTTGTGTCCATCAACAGCTTTCTTTTTGCGGGGAGATGTCCTTTTCACTATGCGGTCTTGATTCCCACCAGTTGGGACATATTTTAACCCTGCTTGACCAACGGAGTATTCTAAAGGGGACTTTCAGGCTGCTGCTGTTGACGGACTCGAGCGCCTGCCGATCAATGCCTGTGTGAAAAGCCATTTGGCAGCGTGAGTTGCGGCAAGTGAGGAGACGTAGACGAAGCAGTAATGCTTGGTTTCGTCATAGAGCATCGAGTTTACGAGGGGCAAGGCCATGGAGTTGCATGCCATACTCGTTGAAGTGGCTCGTTCTGCCTGTGGAAAAGCAAGCACAAGCTTTTAGGACCTTCGGCCCCGACTGCGAGTCGGCATAAGAGTCGGCGTGTTTTTTTATTATTTGTTTTAGACAGGCAGAAACCGACGTAACCCCGTATGATAGGGATGTTGGGCTGTGCAGACAGCTGGCACACGCTCTACTGCTGAATCAGTATCGCTAGACAGTATAAGGCGGTTGTTGAGGTGTGTAAGAAGATTGCAGTCACGCCCCTGTACGGCTACATGAGGTCATGTCATACAGCTTCGTTGGTGTAGGAACAGTTGTTGCACAAGCAGGGATGCCCCGGAACTCAAGAGAGAGAGACGCTGCCAGGCTTCTTGGGTTTGCATATGATCGCTATGTAGTGTACAGAATAGATAATGAAGATGGAGGTGTTGATGGCAAAGGCCCCGGCAGCATGCCGTACATTGATAACCTGTATATCTGTGGTTTGGTGCAGTAGACGTAACCACGATGATAAAAAGAAACCCCTCCGTCTGTTGCCAGTTGATATGGTCCGCCCGCTCAGGTTTGTAGCGCTTTTTATTTCCACAGCTTGCCGAGACTGACCTCCTTGTCATCGTGTTTATTGAGAACCTTGGCTGTTGCAAGATCAAAGTCCTCCTGCGTAACGTGTACTCTTCGTTCTCGCAAGGCGTACATGCCGGCTTCGGTACATACTCCCTTGAGTTCAGCACCAGAGCAGCCGTTCATTTTCTCTGCAATCTTTGTCAGGTTAATGCCACGCGTTAGGTTCATCGAGCGCGAGTGGATGCGGAGAATGTCAGCTCTGGCTTCGACACTATGGTGGACAAATAAAAGCATCAAGTTAGCCTTCAAATTGGGGTGTGGGAGGGCGGAGTCTACAATAAGTACGTACGATGGTGGAGGGAATTCAATCTTCCTGTCTATCCTGCCGGGCCGGAGAAGTGCTGGGTCGAGTATGTCCAGCCGGTTGGTAGCCATAATGATCTTTATATTCTTTGTTGGTTCGAATCCGTCAAGCTGATTGAGAAGCTCCAGCATGGTGCGTTGTACCTCCGAGTCTCCACCACTGCTTCCCTCTACTCGACTAGAGCCAATACTATCGATCTCGTCCATGAATATAATGCTGGGAGCGTGCTCTCGGGCCATGACGAAAAGCTCTCGAACCATCCTACTTCCCTCACCAATATATTTTTGTACGAGCTCGGAACCACTGACTCGGATGAACTTGCAGTCTGTATGGTGTGCAACCGCTCGCGCAAGTAGCGTCTTGCCCGTCCCTGGAGGTCCATACAGAAGCACACCCTTGGGCTGTGCGATCCCGAGGGACTCAAATAGCTCAGGGTGTTTGAGGCCCAGCTCGATAACTTCTTTGATCTCCTTGATCTGCTGGTCCAGTCCACCGATCATATCATAGGTACTATCTGGCACCTTTTCGACCATCATCAAAGACACCAGAGGATCGACAGAGGACGGTAGCATCTTCTCTAGCTTGTAAGTATCGGACAGGAGTGACACTCGTTTTCCGACGGTTAGCTTTGCTATGTCGACACCGTCCGCAATATCAACCACTAGACACGTTATCCAGTCAGTACTCAGCATACAGCACAAGGCTCCTATGCATTAAATTAAGAGTGGACTTGCCGTATTTCCCTTCAGGGTGGACCTTGACCAGGACCTTTTTGGTACCCATGACCTTGACCACTTCACCGACATAGGAGCCTGGCTGTTGCAAAAGACCTAGCTCTTCCCGCAACAACCTGACTCTAGAGTTGTAGTCATTTCTCTGCGCCTCTAACCGCCTAAGAACGGCCTGGCCCTGAATGATCTCGAGCTTCATGCTCTCTATCTTGTTCCGGTAATAGCTATCAAGCGCCATGGTGGCCGAACGGAGGTTTGGCTTTGAGATCCGAGATTCGACTTGCTCAACGGCAGGTGGAAAAATAAATCAAATGAAATGGAGGTCAGAACAAGCAATACGAGGGTCGCACGACGGGCTCCTGGAGGTATCTTCACGCTGATGTCGGCGTTGACGTTATCGTTGGCGCTGAGGACGAGGTTGACGTTTGCCGTCGTCGTTTTTGTTTCGCTGGAGAAAGAAAGCTGAGAGAGCTCCAGCTGACTAAGATGGATTAGATAAGAATTGTGACTAAGATATGACTACTTTCATGGGATGACTAATATTACTAAGCAGTCATCTGCTTCGGTCACGTTTTTAGTTGTACCGAGCAGAAAAAGCAACGACGGCAAAACATCCGCAAGAGGTCAAAGTCAGCTGGAAGACGACGGCGAAGGAAGACGAAGATATTAAAAGGCCCAAGAAGAGCTGGTTTGAAAGGAGGGGCTGCCTGAGCTGAGCTGGCATCTGACGGGAGCTTTCGGCTTCTTGTTCTATCTGCAGCTCTTGAGGGGAACTGGAGGCAGGGTGGTTTATGTGCCTGGTAACGCTCCTTGTTTCCGAAGCAACACAACATGAGATGTTCTTTAGCAAACTGATAATAACAATATAGGTCGGTTTACCCAGGAAAATACACCCGTCTCCTAAGCATCGACAGTCTACTATGAATAGCGTTGCACTCACGTGTGGGAGAACTGGTGCGATCCTTTCGTCGTGAAGCTGCCGATATACTAAAAAAAACACGTCTGCTGTGGTACCACCTGTAGCTATGGCCTCACATGCCGCAGACGACCACCACGATGATACGGAGAACAGCCAGGAGCAGTCGTCTTCCATGGCCTCGAGTCCAAGACAGTTTGCTCCTATCACTAGGACAGAGAGTGAACGCGCTGAAGAGCTTGCGAGGAGTCGGCATGCGTATACTTATGGTCTGCCAGTCACCCACTTGAGAACGATTCATGACATCTCCGTGCTAACGGGAAGGCAGGCTCTATAGGCACATCTGGTAGCTCCTACGGGGAGTCTTCCGCTTATGACCCGTCGAGATCACCCATGATCGAGGCCATGTCCTCCGAACGAACGCCGAAGAAACCCGCAATCTTACGCCGTGTCTCGTCGAAGCCACACAGGGGCCAGGAGTTTTCTGTTGATGACGATGTGAGTGAGGTGGAAGACAAGACCTTGAGGCAGCCGGCTCTCTCTGGTAGATCTACGGCTCGACAGCACTCGTCCATTCGACGTCGAAACGTCATGCCGTCGACAGTGCTCACTCGAGTTGATTCCGAGGACGAACGTCAAGATGGTCCAACTGTGAGCGGAAGCCAGGCTAGCGAGAACGAAGAGAACAACATTGATGATATCGGTGAAATGGCCGATGATGATGGTGTCGTTGATGATGATGATGCTAGCGACGCCGAAAGCTTTACTCTCAAAGACAGGCAACAAGCCATAAACGAGACTCACCCGTTTGGTATCAGAATCTGGAAGCCAGCCTTATACAAGAAACTTCGGTCTGTTGAGAAAACTGCTGAAGGAGATATTCATTCAGTACCTGGACAGCGTGTCAGCCCCTGGCTTTTTCTAGCCAACATTTTGTGGACGGTGGTCTTTGGCTGGTGGCTCGCTCTGGCGGCGTTGATCGGTGCCATTGCTTGTTTTGCCATCGGGTTCTCCCCAGACTCCTCAGCATATGGTAGGGTGTTTTGGGGCCTCTCTGGCTATCTGCTATACCCCTTTGGTGCCATGGTTCGTCTGAAGCCCGACGAGAATTATGCCGAAGAAGACGAAGGCGAAGGGAGAAGCATCAGCGAGTACGAGCAATGGCAGAGCGGTGACATTGAACGGGGGGGCCTGTTTTTTGGTCCGATTGCGAATGCTCGCTCGCTGGTAGGACGACGGAGAAATAGTATGGACTCTGCCAGTGAGCGAGACAGCCTGCTTGGTAGGACTGGACGCCACCACTCTGATGATAGCGAAACAGCTAGGACCAAACGCCGCCTCTTTGGACGCGGCGAATGGACCACTGGCCGGGTCATGTTTTACATCTTCTTCTACCTTCTAGTCGGCCCGCTGCTACTCTCAGTCTCCCTCATATGCTGGATCCTCGTGTTCTGGATACCCATGGGCCGCGTTACGATCATCCTGTTTCATCATCTTCGTCGACATCCCCTTGCCCTATCCTTTCACTCAGATAGCACATACACCAGGCTACAGTCAGGCCCTTCATCCTCAATTCTCCTTTGTACTTACCGTGCAGCCGGCTTAAAATATTGGAAATACACTGTTGATGGAACCAACATCTTCCTTATTAACTTACTGGCTGTCGTCTCTTTCGTCATCTTTGATTTCCACGTCTTGCGAAAGATCTTTCCCACTGATAATTTTATCACACATCCTGGCCTGATATTTGTGCTCGCTCTGATCGCTGTGACGCCGCTTGCCTATTTCATCGGGCAAGCCGTTGCCTCCATATCTGCCCAGTCTTCCATGGGGCTGGGTGCGGCCATCAATGCCTTCTTCTCTACCTTGGTAGAGGTATACCTTTACTGCATTGCATTATCCCAAGGTAAAGCCCAGCTCGTGGAAGGGAGCATTATTGGCAGTATATTCGCCGGTATCCTGTTTTTGCCTGGGATATCGATGTGTTTCGGAGCCATCATCCGCAAGACTCAGAGGTTTAACGTCAAGTCAGCCGGTGTGACGTCAACAATGCTCTTATTTGCCGTTATTGCGGCCTTTGGCCCGACTCTCTTTTATCAAATCTATGGCAGAGTAAGGCCCTCTTCGTCCGTTAATGGAATTGACCAGGCTAACCATTGGGGTTCTCCTAGCACGAACTGAACTGCCATTCTTGCAGTCACGTTAAACTTACAGGAGGTAGAGACTGCCGCCGTTGTTACTTCTCCCAGGTCCCGGCTGTCGATGATGATTTTTTCATGAAGGCAGTACAGCCATACTCCTACTTTGCTGCTGTTCTACTCTTTCTGTCCTACATCATTGGTCTTTGGTTTACTCTTCGGACTCACGCTGCCATCATTTGGTCCACTGACGTTGAGGAGAAAAGGCCGCATTCTGATGCCCATAGATCTGTCTCTCACTCACATATTGATCATGCGCATGGCAGTACCAGCCTCAAGGGTTCCATACGAGACTCGCAGCTATACGCTCGAATTCTTGGACAATCTCTCAAGCATGTAGGTTTAACTCCAAGCTCTGAACAGTCGACTGCCGCAATTAGTCCCAATGAGGCGGCAACTGTGCACGTTGTACCCCCCAAGGACAAGAATAAGTACCAAGGTCCCTACAATATGAAGATTCCCTCCCTCACTGCAGAAGAAAATGATCAACTGGTCCGACAGGTCACCGAAGTGGCGGCAACCGCGGCCACAGTTGCTGCCCGAGATGCCGCCGGCCCAAGGCATGTATCAGGCACACCTGGGGTTAAGACCCCGGTAGGAACCACTGGGACTCCCGCAATTGGCCACTCTGAGGAGGCAGGGGTATTTACAGAACCTCACACCGAGTCACATGGACACGATGCTCCAAATTGGGGCAAGACAAAAAGTTTTGTTATATTACTAGGCGCAACATTGCTGTATGCAGTGATTGCCGAGATCCTAGTGAATACGGTTGATGTAGTGCTACAAAGCTATGATATTGATGAGAAGTTCCTTGGAATTACCCTATTTTCATTGGTTCCCAACACTACTGAGTTTTTGGTGCGTTTCCCCTGCTTCAAAAATGATGGGGTGTGATTCATGGGTTTAAGAGTACTAACAGGAGTAGAACGCCATTTCTTTCGCAATGAACGGGAACATAGCGCTGTCCATGGAGATCGGCTCTGCGTATGCACTCCAGGTGTGCCTGCTGCAAATTCCGGCCTTGGTACTATTCAGTGCCGTGCATACCTCGATATTTAACCCTTCTGACCTTCTGGAGCATTCATTCAAGTGAGATAACAACCCACCAAGGTGCTATATGTGAGCCCCTTCACTAACAGTCTTTGTCTGATCTAGCTTGATATTCCCGCAGTGGGACATGATCACCGTCATCCTGTGTGTGTTCCTCCTATCATATGTTTATGGTGAAGGGAAGAGCAACTACTTCAAAGGCTCGATTCTGCTTCTTACATATATCTTCGTCGTTATGGGCTTTTACCTGTCCAGTCTCAGCACGATGGGTGTCCAGCAGCTTCAGTCAACTTCTCTCGGCGTTGCTAGGAACGATGACGGCTCATTCCAAGTCAGTGGTTAGAGGATTGTGTCTGTTGCCTGAAGGAGTACATAGCCAGATGGGAGGGGAACTATCTTGTTTCCACTTATATATGTTGCATTCTGTGGTGGGAGATACAGAACTAATTGCATAGTCCAGTATATAATTCTCAAACTGATATTTTTTGGTCTGCTTGTCATTGGCGGTTGTTTCAACTTGTTTGACTCTTCGTGGCTATTAGCTAGAAAGTTAACTGGACGCTTCAGTAGGCGTAGTAGAACGCATTCTGTCCTCCATCCAGTCTGCTGTTTGCTACAAGAATACACGCATCCCGTGTCTATATAGCGGCCTCAAAGTCTAACTTGCACTGACCTTAAGCCGCCAGAGCTTTTTTTATCATTGGCCAGTTTTAATCATTAACTACCCTCCAATTACTCCATAAATACATGAGTCTCCCTGTCTCTTCACTTATACCGTACACGCTCTCATTTTACTTACCCCTTTATTATTTCTTTAGCTTCTGACCCAACTCTCCTTGGATGCCATCACTATTTTATACACAGGCGCGGCAAGCTTCTCTCGGTTTAGCTGCACGGTTAGCTTGTCAAACTGGAGAAAATCACGGAGAGCAACAGATTTAGCTGTACACAGTTATAAATCGTACAAAAGATAGAGATGAAAAACTAAGAGGAACGCTTTTATCTTAATAATAACCATTAGTTAATAGTTAGCTAACAAGATTAGTTATAGAATGTCCAAGATGAGCTTGCGTCGCTAAATCTACAATTTAATACGGCTGAGGAGGAGCGGCCAAAGAAGTTTGAGGAAGAGAATCACCAGCTCGTAGGCAGATGAATGGCAAAAATGGACCAGGAGTCTGAAGCTAGTTATGAACGAAACATCCAGGTTTTCTTTACTTAAGAGTTAGTTATAGGCTTTGAAGGATAATCAAAGTGGACATCAACTTTAACGTCGGCATTATCTTCACGAACCAGGAGTGTCAAGGGTTTATTACCATTGATATAAGCCTTGATATGTCGCCTCCAAGTGGATTGATCTGCCATGGCGGGTGCTTGATAGCGAGGCTATCCAGCCATGCGCCTTGTCGCTACGAATGACATGGCAGGGTGCGCCCATGTCTAACTGCGAGGGTCTGATGCAAATTAATTTTACCTTGGTCAAGTCGTGGCCTCAAAGGAGGCTTGTAGACATTATATTTCAGGTTTCAAGAATAGCCTCCGTGTTAGGTCGGCTAACCATGGAAGTCCAGGTCATAGAATGTGGTTATATAAGGACAAAAGCCGCCAATATCAGAGCTTCATCTGCCTCGGGTCACGAGGAGAAGCGTGGTTTTGTCTTCCCCAGACTCGGGATCGGCGCCCTTTGCATGTTAACAAGTTTGGATTTGGTGTCTCTAGTTATCCCTTATCCCTGCACAGGTCCCCAGCCCCTCGTATCGCGGGGACGGAATGGCTAAACGACATCCATGTCAGGCATAACGAGCTAGTTTTCTTTGATGACAGACAGCCATAGCAATACGGCACCGCGGGTGCCAGTGCCGGGGCAATATTTAAATGCGGGGTTTCAGCGCTGTCTTGCAGGGGGAATTCTGCATTTACATAAATATGGAGGCATCTCTCTGCGTGGGCTGGCAGGGGAGGGAGAGAGAGAGACGGCGACAGAAGCAAACCCAGTGTCAGACAGAAGTGTCTGTCTGATATATCTACCACTCCGGTCTCTGCTGCGATATCCGATAATATCTACTTGGAGCATCGACAATGGTGTCATTCTGCGGAGTGGCAGCCTGCTTGCTGACAGTTGCTGGCCATCTTGCGCAGGCTCAGTTCCCACCAAAACCGGAGGGTGTCACTGTCCTGGAGTCGAAGTTCGGCAGCGGTGCTCGCATCACTTATAAGGAGGTCCGTTAGCTGCATAGAAAGTCCACGTGAAGACATTGTAGCTAACAATCCACTAGCCTGGCCTCTGTGAGACGACAGAGGGCGTCAAGTCGTACGCCGGATATGTTCATCTGCCTCCAGGCACGCTCAGGGACTTCGGTGTCGAGCAGGACTACCCTATCAACACCTTTTTTTGGTTCTTTGAAGCAAGAAAGGACCCTGAAAATGCCCCTCTCGGCATTTGGATGAACGGTGGCCCGGGTAGCTCGTCGATGTTTGGAATGATGACTGAGAACGGGCCTTGCTTCGTCAATGCTGACTCCAATTCTACTCGCCTGAACCCTCATTCTTGGAACAATGAAGGTATGCCATCAGCTTCTGATGGAATACTAAATATTGCTAACATTGTATTTTCTGGGACTAGTCAATATGCTGTATATAGACCAGCCAGTGCAGGTCGGTCTGTCCTACGACACTTTGGCCAACTTCACCAGGAATCTAGTCACGGATGAGATCACGAAACTGGAACCCGGAGAACCTATTCCGGAACAGAATGCTACTTTCCTAGTAGGTACATATGCAAGCCGCAATATGAACACCACTGCACACGGAACTAGGCATGCTGCCATGGCTCTCTGGCACTTCGCCCAGGTCTGGTTCCAAGAATTCCCAGGATATCACCCTAGGAACAACAAGATCAGCATTGCTACCGAATCCTACGGTGGCCGTTATGGCCCGGCCTTTACTGCCTTCTTTGAAGAGCAGAACCAAAAGATCAAGAACGGTACATGGAAGGGACACGAGGGAACTATGCACGTGCTGCATCTCGACACCCTCATGATCGTCAACGGATGCATCGACCGTCTTGTCCAATGGCCAGCATATCCACAAATGGCGTACAACAACACATATGGCATCGAGGCCGTCAACGCCAGCATTCATGCAGGAATGCTGGATGCCCTCTACCGCGACGGTGGCTGTTGAGACAAGATTAACCACTGCCGCTCCCTCTCTTCTGTCTCTGATCCTGAGAATCTCGGCATCAACTCAACTGTCAATGATGTCTGCAAGGATGCGGAGACCTTCTGCTCCAATGATGTTCGCGATCCCTACACCAAGCTCTCTGGCCGCAACTACTATGACATCGGACAGCTTGACCCCAGCCCCTTCCCAGCACCATTTTACATGGCCTGGCTAAATCAGCCGCATGTGCAGGCAGCACTGGGTGTGCCACTCAACTGGACGCAGTCGAACGATGTTGTGAGTACCGCATTCCGTGCAATTGGTGATTACCCTCGGCCAGGGTGGCTGGAGAACCTGGCTTTTTTGCTGGAGAATGGCATCAAGGTTTCGCTTGTTTACGGTGATCGGGACTACGCATGCAACTGGTTCGGTGGTGAGCTCTCAAGTCTGGGAATCAACTACACTGACACCCAGGAATTCCATAATGCCGGCTATGCAGGTATCCAGATCAATAGCAGCTACATCGGTGGACAGGTGAGACAGTACGGCAGCCTCTCCTTCGCCCGCGTCTACGAGGCCGGCCATGAGGTGCCATCATACCAACCTGAGACCGCACTGCAGATATTCCACCGTGCCCTGTTCAACAAGGATATCGCCACTGGAACCAAGGACACGTCCTCGCGCATGGACGGAGGCAAGTTTTATGGCACCTCGGGCCCTGCGGACTCGTTTGGTTTCAAGAACGAACCTCCGCCGCAGCACGTCCACTTCTGTCATATCCTAGACACAAGCACCTGCACCAAGGAGCAGATCCAGTCAGTTGAGAACGGCACTGCTACCATACGCAGCTGGATCATTGTCGACTCCAACTCGACCTCTCTGTTCCCCGAGGTGGTTGGCTCAGGGGAACCCACGCCAACCCCTATGCCTGGAGGGGCTACTACACTATCTGCTCGCGGATACTTGTATGACGTGACATTATGGGTTGTTCTTCTTGTATCTGCTATAGAGCTGGTAATGTAAATAGCGAGTCGTCGGGCCCTAGACGTAAGGAGAATATGGGTGCAATCTACATATGAAGTGCGGATAAAGATAACTAAGGGTTGAAACTGCTGACGACAGGCGCCGAGTAACTACCTGGCTAATTGAATTAGCCAGGGAAGATTGCTCATGGAAGTAACAACAAGTCCACTGTCAAGATAGAAAATAAACAGCCTTTCTTCTCTCTATCTATCTATCTCTATCTCTATTTATAGATTCTCTATTTTGGGAGAATGAGGGTCAGAAAGAAAGAGACAGGCACTCCAGAGTCAAGGAAGGCGCAACTAACTAAGTACTTAGCTATTTTGAAAGAGAAGCGACGACCTTTAACTAGTTATATCTATTTATAGTTTAGCTTTCTTGTTAGTTAGTTAGGCAGCCGCGACTCTTTGCGAGGAAGGTTCTGTAGGTGTATGTTATTGCGTTTCGAGCCGTCCACAAGAGAGAACATCATCTGGCTGTGACATTGCCCATTCCATGGAGTTTTCTGGCAGTATTACTTCTCCGCGAGTGCCAAGTCCAGGAGCAAGGACTGCCATTCCGTTCTTCGCAAACCTCTGGTACGCCGCATGATACAAGGAGGCACAATCCATGTAGTATCTCCACCTGGTCGCGGAGACTGAAGGACTTGCGCCCCGGAAGTTCGGTAGAGACGGGTGACTGGAATCTCCATAGCAATAGAGCTTCAGACAAAACTTTGTAATAGCAATGATAATGATTATAACCAAAGCTACCAGTGTGGGGTTCTTGGAATTCAGAGTAAAACCTGAATTAAACTGTGGTTGCTCCATTGCCAGATAAATGTTGATAAGCAGCTCGTATCACCCAGCCAGGTGTTAGCTCTTAGGATAACAGAGATAGCTAGTCTGTTATTTTAATACTATATGAACCCGTGAACTCGATAAAATTATTTGTTTATTTCTTCAAATGTTAAAGAAAAAGTTTGGGTATGGTGGGCGGCCGAGAGGGGAAGATGGCCAGGGTTGCAATGTTGTCTTCGGCTTAACAACGGAATATTCCGAACACTTGCAGGGTGCCCGGGGAATGGTGCCGTTTCATCTCCCCCCTTGCGGCGGCAATATTGTGCGATGGCCCCTAGAAGGCCCTTTGCGTTGGGGTATGTAGAAGGCTGCATAGTTCGGGCCTTTACAACTGCAAACAATTGGAGTCCAATGGAGACAGCTGGGTTGCTGTTTTTGCCCATGGTGCCCACTTTTGGATAATAATATGAAATCTTGCAAAGAGTTCATGCATAATCTCTCGACCTAATATCTGATAGCTGAATTTCAGGGCAATAATGGAGCTCGGGAGCCCCATCATGCTTGAATGTAGTCTGACATTGACAAACAGGCTGGTTAAGGATGCAACGGCAGAGGAGGTTGCAAAAGATGATGGACTACCGGGTGGTACAGAATGCTTATGAATTTATAGGACATGGGCAAAGGGGGGATGAGGATTGGTTGTAACGGGTTAGTTGCCGAATATGAAGGAATAAAATGCCCTGCAAGGTTATACCTATTGACTCGCACGCCTAGGAAATGTTCAAGTAGATCCACGATATTTGGGCGGCCGAGGGGATTTCACGATAGATAATACTATACCAAAGAGTACTGCTCGATCAACGTGGAGTGAATGGGCGCGGGCTTGCTCTGAGAATGGCACGACAGCAATTGTTCAGCTGAATCATCCCGGTCGTCACG